TCTCGAGATATAGCATATGCGAGAAGTGTGTACATGTATACTAACGCCACGGGGTGAGAAACTTCTTAACTACTGTTTACCAGCCAAAAAGTCTTGACGCCCTAAACAACTTTGCCGAAGACAGCAACTTTCTAGCTGATCAAGATCTCGAGCTATTGAATGTGCGAGAAAGGCACGTATTTCAGCGCCGCATAGTGAGAAAATTCTGAACTATTGTCGCCCAACAAAAAGATCTTGACTTTCTGAAAAACTTTGTCGAATACTTTTACTTTCTATCTGGTCAGGATCTAGAGATATTTTAGTCAAATCCCACGTCAAATTCCAATCTAGTAAAATCCCACGTAGTATGGTCACAGTTAACGCGGTTTCTATTTACATTTTCCCTATCATCCGCATTGTTTAGGTGTTTACTGTAATCAATGTTTAGCTTGTATAGATCAAAACAAGTTTTTTGAGGAATACTCGTTGGTTTCAGATCGATTGGTAACTCAGCAACAAAATGGCAATGGAAAACTCATGTGTGTTGTACAAAGTACAACAGTGCGAGTAACGGAGGGTTAATAACTGTGGAAGTGCATCTAAAACACTAAGTTGAGAGTACGCAATAAGCTAATATTTGATAAGCAATAAGCTTCTAATGCGAAGAAGAAAATGAAGAAGAGATGTTAAAAGTTCACAATGCTTTTCTAATGTTATTAGAGTTTCTCTGCGAATCGTAGAACGTCCTTAAAATTTGCAGAGCTTAGATGGCCCACAGCGACTCACGAAGAGCTACTGATTCCGATCAATAGCGGTGCGGCTTCTTCCTTCTTCTATGGATGCTCATGTGGGCTGCAGCTCGCTGCTCGCAGGCAGCCTATCGTTGTGTACTGGAGAACAATGTTCAACGCCACGCGCCAATATGTCGCTTAATACGGTTATCAGAGAAATCAAATTTTATCTTCATAACCATAATCCGGAATTCCCGAAACTGGTTCTACGGTGGCCATATGGCTTTATGGTTTTCGTTTTGAGAACCGTTGGACATGTTTGTGTGAGATGTGATTTGATAGGTCACTTGATATGGTTATCAGAGATATCACATTTAATCATGTCGTTTGATATGGATATGAGAGATATCAAATTTGACCATGATCCGGAATATCCAGAATCGGTTCAACGGTGGCCAAATGGCTCTATGATTGTTATTTTGAGTGCCATTGGTCATATTTCATCGAGTAGGTGTGATTTGATACGTCGCACGATATGATTATGATCGATAATAAATTTGACCATATGCTAGATGTGATTTGATATGTCACTTGATATGGTTAGGATATATACATAATTATGTTGTACTGTAATCGGTTGTTCTAAGTTTCTTAATCCGAAGTTCCTTTTTCGTCTTTTCCTGTTGGCTGGTAGTTTTGTCCACAGGACTACGCTAGTAAATGACAACTATTTTGAGTAAAACATTATTTCTTGTAATTTTGAGATTCCTATAGGATTGGTGATTGGTTGATTGCATGATCCGATCAGGTTGCAGCACGTAGCGAGTGATTCCTAAAATTTTGCATTCGGGTTTTGTTTCGTTTGTGAAGCAAAGTTATCAAAATTAACTCTTTAGCGATTTTGATTCGATGTGCAAGGTCGTAAATCGTGTGGGAAGTCTGCCTATTTACACTAAGGCAAAAGAACGTAAGAATTCCATATTCCACCACTTATGTATTTTAGCCACAAAAAATCGGTATGAATTTAATAATAATAAAACGGAGCAGACTGAAATCAAACCATGGACGTTGAGATTACGGAACCAGTGTGCTAACCGCTCGTCTTTAAACGCATGTGAAAATGAAATGGTTAAATGCGTATAAGAGCTACTTCATGTTAGACGAAAATCATTCATAAGTCACGCTTATGAAATTCATATGTGTCGTTCCATAAGTTGAGCCTTAAGAAATTCTAATAACAAAACCTACTAAAGCTCTATTCATCATTTTGCAAAATACTGTTGATGAAAAAAGTTAGAGGCGAATGAATGTAAATGAATGCATGAAATGAATGTAAATGATTTTCCATGCCTGATCCTCACTTTCGAACCATCAATACTCGTGCATATAGATGGGCTATAATGGCTGCTGGTTGATTAATTTATTCTTTGATTTACACAATGTTTTAGACGATGCTTGACGTTCACCATTTTTTTCAAAACTATATTGTTAAAAAATCAATAGTTTTACCCATTGTAATCAATACGTAGAGAAAATTCCGATCGATTGATACAAAAAAATTGAAAATGTATCTTGAAATAGCCGAGTTATAATCGTTCAAAACCTGACCATTTTTCGTTACATAAAACACAGGCGTAGTCCCACGTTAAAAGTTCCAAAAGAGCGATTCATCCCTGCTCACCGCTGTTCTGAACCGCATAAATTCATCTCCATTTCTCTCCTGTCACTCCACAACCATGCTCGGTGTTAGATGGGATTGCAGCACGTGAAAGTCCTCAGCAATGCCGATTTGCTCAAGGAATACTAGCCTTCAATCTGGAATACTATACCGATGTGCTGTACTTGCTCTACCTACTGGAATGTTTTGGAAGACCATGGGTGGGCCAAGGACAAGTACAAGAAGCTAAACGCAGCCATAGTTTCGATGGTCAAGGAGTAGTTTTGTTTTTTTTTCGATCTATTTTAAGACAGATTAACTGAAAATTCAAGCGTAAACATTCTACATTAAAACATAATAAACGATGCTCCAAAGAGTATGTTCATTTTAAGCGCAAGCGTGAATTCTTTAGGTGTCGTTTAAATCCTATTGCCTATTCGTAATGGTTTGTATCTAGTGATGTGAGTTGGTCGGTGACCTGAAGGCGACCATTTTGCTTGCTGAGTGGAGGGTCATGGGTTTAGTCTCATGCTCCTTCACATCAATCACAGTTTATTAATCACGAACGCATGATTTCATAAATCGATTCCCTTTAATTGCCATAATGGCGACAGGCTCTTAGTTCGTAGTGGTTTGTTGTGATGTAGGGGGCGTCGCGGCCTGTTGGTGACCATTTTTGCGTTGCTGAGCGAATGATCATTGATTTCATCCTAGGCCTGTTTACATTCTGATGCTTATCAGGCCTTTAAAACCGCAAACCTTAGTATCGGGAATTTTGGAAAATAGTATATTTCATCAACACTTTGATTGCACCACTTATCAAGGTGAATCCTGATCAAACGAAACCTACCTACTATTTGTTTTCCGTCGAATTTGTTTTCCGTGCTAAGCACCAGGACCTTCTGGTCTTAGAGTTACCTCTATGGCTTTACTTCCCGAAGGAAGGCGTGATTAGAGATGTTATGCTTCAGAACAGCCCGGTGGCGCCGACTGGGATTGAACCCAGGCCTGCTAGGGTGAAAGATAATCACGCTTACCACTACACCGCCGGCGCCGCTGTCCCACTCCAACCTTGACAACCCATTTATTTTTTATTTATATTTTTTGTTCTTATAACATTTCCATAAAATGTATGAATTTAATTAAAGCTCATAAAATTCTTACACTCTTCGGAATATCCTGTTCCGTGAAAATGATATCAATTTTATAGAATCATTTTAACTTTCTGCTTGAACCATTGCATTGTTGTGGTACAAATGGACGACAGACAAAACAGCATATGACAAAAGATCGAAAGTATAGGTCTGAAGGTACAAATGGTCGAATTATGATAAGGGGTCTGAAGGCTGAATGGACAAAAGTTCGAATGATGAGAAGCGGGATAAAAGATGGTTGAATAGTTCAAAAAGGAAGAAAATGTAGAATTGACAAAAGGTCGAATGGTTAAAGAGGGACAAAAGGTCGCACGGTCCAAAAAAGGACAAATGGTCGAATGGCCGAAAGAGGAACAACAAGTCGAATAGACTAAACGTCGAATGGTGACAAAAGGTCGAATGGTCCAAAGAGGAACAAATGATTTAATGAACATAAGGTCGAATAATCAGAAGGGAGCCAAATGGTCGAACAGCAAGAGGCATAATAAAATTAATTCCTTTAATTACAGCTTTCAGTACTTGAATTACACCCTGCTACTTTTTTAGTCCATTAATTAGAGTCGTAATTTCGTAATTAAAGTTCATTAACTACATTTTCAGTACCATTAATTACACTTTGAGTACTTTTAATTACGTTAAGTACGGCAAAGTTATTTTCCTTACTTACATTACAAGTTTAAAATGCTTTAATTACATTAAGTACTTTTGCATGGATTTAAAATTCAACGCACTGCACTGGTCAAATAATAATGTGCTTGAATCATTCAGCCTTTTGCCCATTCGACCTTTTGTATTTCAGTCCTTTTGTCATTCGACGTTTGGTCCATTCGACTTTTTCACCTTTGAATCGTTCGACCTGTTGTCTCTCTTTAGACCTTTATTTCATTCGACCTTTTGTCCCTCTTCTCATCATTAGACCTTTTGTCGATTCAACCTTTTGACCGGCTTCTCGTCATTCGACATTTGTACCATTGGACCTTTTATCCTTTCTACCTTTTGTCATACAATCCCAAGAACTGTTGATGTGTATCACACATATAATGTAGTTATCTTCAACGAGTTAACTATCACATCATGCCAGTATCGCATGTGTCACGGCATTGTCCCTTAAATAGCACGTCGAAAAGACGTATGTACCTAGTTTTCCACTTCACACCTTTAACAATTTAATTTACTTCACAATCGATCACCACCCTCTTGTTGAATACCGAATTGTGTACCGAAAATGAAATCGACCCCCCCACACAGCACCGCACTGGGGCGGGAACGGAGTCCACGTTAATTCCTTATTGATTTCACAAATGGTAGTGAAAGTCAACCAACGCCCTCGTCATCGTTGTTCAGAACTAAGTATGTCGGCATTCTATAAATTCATATTCGTGATTATTCATCATGACTATAACGTTGAAGCTGGGAACTCGCCCACCCTCTCAATGCGTCCAAAACAAAAAAAAAAGTATGCAAACAAGCAACACTCACCCGTTGGATTGCGTGACCAATCACCTCCTCGCTGTACTGACCGATGAACAGGGCCGAGCTAACCTCGGGCAGGGCCCAGTTGGTTGCCTTGGCGCAGACCAGTGGCGAGGGCCGTCCCGGCGGCAGCGTATTCAAGGCAAACAGCAACAGCAGCGCGTTGTGAATTACCCGGTTCTGGTGGGCGAGCAACAGTTTCCGCAGGTGCTCCAGGTAAGCCGGGCTGCGAATCACGATCGGACCGGACCAGTTGGCCGGCAGCAGGTCTTGCCACAGAAGCTGCGGGGAGTGATTGATTGCCTGAATTAATCCTAATTATGATATGATTGAGGAGGCAACTCGATGATGGATGATGCGTCTCCATCAGCGGTGAAATTTGCCTCTGCTGCCATTGAAGTTTTAAATGGGAATTCGATTAGCAAAAACTTACAAATGGATGCGTGCTCATTAGCGCTGTAACATTATTCAGCACGTAGCTGTTGGTGAAGTCCTTCTGCACGTAATCCCGCCGTATCTGGAAATGATGAATCACGATGAGAAATGAGCAATCGTTAGCTTTTTTTTTGTATCGGCCATACGCCCTCACCTGATTCAAATCGCGAATGAAGCTAAATATAACGCTCTTCTCCGATAGCCGCTGGTTGGCGCTCAGCCCCGGCGGCAGAAACACATTCATTAGCGCGTCCAACAGCTCGGGCACGTCTTCGGTGACGTCATTGGGGGCATCCTTCGGGCCCTGCCATCGGACGGGATTCTAGAGGGGGGGGGGGGGGGGTGAAAATAGTACAAGTGGGTCAAATGGATGCCGCCGACCGAGTTCAACATACCGCCAGAATGTGCAACGATGTGGTGGGTCCATCAATTATCAGCAACGTTTGCGGCTTGCGGCCGTAGCTCAGATCGTAGTAGATGCCGATGATTGGCATCGGGCCAATGCTTTGGATTTTTGATATCAGCGGTGATATGCTCTGGGGTCCCACGGAGCCAATTTGCAGATAGCCTCCCAGCTTGTCCAGGCGCATTTTGATGCTGGAATCGTTGAGCGTTTGCCGCAGGCAGCTGCCATACAGGCGACCCAGTTTCCGAAACACCCCGGAGGTGGTGTTCAGCGAGAGGAGCTCTGATTGAAAGCGGATGATAAAATGTAGGTTTATGTGCACGTATAACTGCATCATGTAGCTAGGTACTCACGTTGCATCTGAATGTCGGCAATCTCCTGGGGGCTCTTGACGGCCCGCAGGCTGTTGCTGCTCTCCAGCGGTGAGCAGCTGTAGTTTTTAAACTCCCTGCACGGCTCGACGTCCCAGTTCATGCGCGTTTGGATGCTGATGGCCGCGGCACGGCAAATCGGATCGGAACACTCGGGTGGTGGGGCCGGCGGCGGGTGGCAATCGTCATCGTCGGTAACGTAGCAATCCTTAGGCAGCTGCGAGGGGGCTGCCGAGATGAGAAACAGTATGGGCGACGCCACCAGGAGGGACGTGACGAGCAGGGTGGCTGCCGTGATGGCCATTTTGTGTACTGCCGAGGAGCCCCGCAGCCACATGCATGGTGCACAGCAAACCCAACCGACCGGGTTTTTCAGCGATGGCCGACCGTTGGCCGAGGAGGGCGCCGAGGCCGACGCCGGACCCGTTGCTGCTGAAGATGGTGGTGGTGGTGTTGCTGTCACTGCCGATGTTAATAGTTGTAGTGCTCCCGTTGAGGCGACGGGGAAAAGAGCTGCCTTGGAGGCGCCTTGCTTGCTGGTCGCAATGTGTGCCAAAGTCTGAAATGGGGTGGAAAATGGAAAACACAAGAGCTTCTGTTACATGCTGTCACTAATTGGATTGTGAAATGTGGAATATAGATATGAATGCGTCAGGAAGCGAAGTGATATGTGCACTTGTTATATCTGTGCTCGGAGCGTGCAAATGCACAAGAAGTGCATGCATAGGGAACGAGGGAATTGTTCGGAGAATGTCGCTTCCTTGATTGCTGTCCTTCGATTAAGAATGCTGCTTTTAGCAGTGTTGCATTTTTAAGCATGACATATTTTTTTTTACGTGGCGTCTTGAAACATAGGATCCGAATGCTCACCGGATGTAGTTCAAATTCATATTAAAGTTTACAACCAATGATCGGTGGTATCAGTATTGAAATTACTTGGAAGCTGAAAGCTAGCAATATAGGTCACATAAATGATAGTATTATATTTCCTGGAAAACCATATCCCAGATTGAACCATTTCCTGGAATATCATTTTCCGGAAAGGAACAACTTCCAGGCTGTTACAACAAGCGCAGATTTCTCGAATTTCACGGATGTAGAAAATTGGTTACCCATGCTGACTTCGGTTCTGATCACCTTCAAGTAACTTTTGAAATAACCAAAGAAATAATTTCTAATCCTAACATTTATGCCATATAACTTTGATCCAAATATTCCTTTGCAAACCAAAGATGATATTAAGAATGTTCTTGAATCTCAGACTACTTCTATAGTTGAAGCAAGCAGGGCCCAACAAAGTCACTTTCAATCGAAAATCGTCAAGCGACGACGAAGCTGTCAACCATCACTTTCAATTGAAAGTCATTCTGTCTTCGCTTCGAGCAGATCCTCTCCAACAACAACAGAACCACTTTCGATCAGTTTTCATCCTGTTTGTTTTGGCTTGACTTGTGGTCATTTCGTCTTTCATTGTCAAATGAACTTACTTTCGCAGTGAAGCTATTCGATCCAAATTCGCGCAGTTTTTCTGACTTTTGTTGATTGTTCACTCGGTTAATTGAAGCGCATGCTTATAGACCTGTGCACGTGGATATCGAATTTATCATTGTCGGGTGGTTTGTTTACCCATCAATATGGGTATTTGTGGTATCGGAATGACGTCTAGAGGCCGGAAATCGATTTCCGACGACATTTTGTAATCCATGATGGCGGCTTCCGATTTCCGAGAAAAAGTGGGAAATACTGATGCCAACCCATCAATATGGGCATTTTTGGAATCGGGGTGACGTCTAGACGAGATTGTCTCTAGAGATTGTAAATAGATATGCGACGCCATTCTTACATCCAAGATGGTGGTCTCCGGTTCAAGGAAATGTGGGAAATACTGTCAAATACCCACCAATATGGGTATTTTTGGAATCGGGATGACGTCTAGTGAATGAAAATTGATATCCGACGCCATTTTGAAATCCATGATGGTGGCTTCCGGTTTAAGGAAAAGTGGGAAATTCTATCAAATACCCATACATACGGGTTTTTTTTTAGAGTCAGGTGAATATGTCATGTGGTATCAATGTGGGTATTTTCAAAATCCCAGTATCATCTAGAGGCCCGAAACCGATGTTTGACGCCATTTTAAAATCTAAGATGGCGGCTTTGGTTTACAAAAAAAGTGTGAAATACTGTCAAATACCGATAAGTGTGGGTGTTTTTGGAATCGGGGTGACATCTAAAGGCCAGAAATCGAAGTCCGATGCCGATGAAATTCAAGATAGCGTCGAATATTAGCGGTACCGGTGGTGTAGTGGTAAGCGTGATTACCGGGATGTTCTGAGGCATAACATCTCTGAGCACGCCTTCCTTCGGACGGGAAGTAAAGCCGTTGGTCCCCGGTTCATGAGTTGATGGGGAGCTGCCTCCCTGGCGTCGGTAGCATTGGTGCTCAGTACGGAAAACAAGATCGACGGAAAACAAATCAAGAAAAAAAAAAAGAAGCGTCGAATAGCGATTTTTACGATCCACACGTCATCTTCATTTCGGAAATACCCAGATTTTGGGGTATTTGACACTTCTTCTGCAACCCGATGGCCTCATCTATGCGTCGTACCCCGTTCCAAAAACACACATATCTTAGGGTATTTGACACTTTTCTGAGCCCAATGACCGCCGTATTGGATTCCAAAATGGCGTCGGACATCGCTTTTTGGCACCTTCACGTCGTCTTCATTCCGAAAATTCCTATATTGTAGGGTATTTGAGGCTGTTCCGGACTTAATTTAGATTTCGTTAATTAAATTTTCGTTCAATATAAAATAACATTCCAGACGACGCGACGCGTGACAAGTCGAATGGTCCCCGAATTGAAGTGAAAGTGGAAAAACGAAGGAAGCAATATTTGAGTCATTCATTGCATCAATTTAAATGAAATGAACTGATGCACTTGACAAACGAAACAAGCTATACACGCTATTTCAAAACTACCCAAATTTGGGTGGAATCCACCCAGATCGATCAAAACTGAACCTACCCAAAAATGGGTAAACTGTGTTGAGAGTGACAAGTTGACAAATGAACAAACATCTTTTTGCAGGAAATCTTCAAAGTCGACATAAATCTTCCTTCTATCTACTCAGCGTGCGTGCAGCTAGCCACAGCAAAACACAATCTTTTCTGCTTCGTAGATAGAGTCGTCCCCCTCGCTCCCTACACAGTTTACCCATTTTTGGGTACGTTCAGTTTTGAACGATCCGGGTGGATTCTACCCAAATTTGGGTCAGTTTTGAAATAGCGTGCACACGCTACTTAAAAACTACCCAAAATGGGTAGCGTATACTCAGTTCGGTCAAAACTGAACCTGTCACATGGGTAAACATGCATTTACCCAAACATGGGTAAACGTACTGGCGACAGAAACTGGGTAACGGTTACTCAGATGTTGACATTTGGTAACTTGGGTAAACTTTACCCATTTAATAGAAATTTGTCGATATGACCGCTGCAGCAGCTCTATCAAACTTAACCTCACCCGACTGTAGCTCATCTATCGGCTCATCTACACGGTAAGAAAAAATACTCAAATTTAAGTTTAAAAAAATTAAGGGTTGTGTCCTAGACACGACCGCAGTATGACGTAGAACTTATCTATCTATCTCTATCTATGATGCATGATATATGCATTTAGGTTAACATCCGAAGTCCCTCCTTTTTTACATATTCTACACAAAACATACTTTCTAAGCCCCGCAACTGACAGGATTTCCCCCCATTTTATTATGAATGGGGGCGGGGCAGAACGTTTCTTTTGTGCAGAATATGGAAAAAAAAGGATGTATAGTCGTATAGTATAGTCGACAAAGACGTAGTTCTACGTCAAAAACTCAACGTTGGGTTCTATCATTTGAGGTCCGCCGTTGAGTGAATCAGAAAAGCGGCGTTGGTTAAAATTTACTCAACTATTGAGTAATAATAAATGAACTCAAATATAAGTTTATTTTCATTGAGGTTGCTCGTATGCGCCTTTAACCATTTCATTTTCACAAGCGTTGATAGACGAGTGGTCAACACACGGGCCCCGTAATCTCAACGTCCATGGTTCGGTTCCAGTCTGCTCCGTTTTATTATTTTTTTGTCAATTTGGTCAACGTGGATTCATGATCAGAATTACTCAAAATTGAGTTTTCTTTTTTAACTTAATTTTACCTAGCCCCACGGAAGCCACGTGAATGTTAAATATGTTTTATAAACTTTTTAAATATGTTTTATAAACATCATAAACATTTGTCATCGAGAAAAGCGGCACAGGATATCTGGATAACCTAGAATTATAATGAAGTTTAAAGTTCAGAAACTAACAACATACTTACTAACTATAGCTGCATTCGCAATCCAAACAGTTCCGTAGCTGTAACATTTTTAGCGTCAGAATTGTATATTTTGAACAGTAAACATTTCACTGGCAGTTGAACAATCTCCATTTCAAACCTGCGCCATGTTTAAGTTAGGGAAAATTTCAATTAGAACCACTTACCCAGAATCTGGGTAGATTCTATTCATTTGAACAAAACTAGTTTACTCAAGTTTTGACAACTCCTTACTGGCTACAAGACTAAAGCCCTACAGTAAAAATATGGACGTCTGTCAAAAGTTGTTCCAATCCAACCATCAAAATGCACCGCTTTGCTCGATTCCCTAATAAAAATGTTATGGTTAATTTGCTTAACGACATGTTCGGGGTATCATCCAAACAATTTGTGGAATAGTTCAATAATTTGGGTTATCATTCGTTTATGGTAATTTTTTATTAGGGTTGGAACAGCTTTTTTCAGTTTTGTGGTGACAGTCGTCCATACTTTTACTGTACGGCTTTATACAAGACTGGGTGCCGTCTACCCAGTTACTGGGTAGATTCAAAATAGCGTGTAGTCAAGTCATGTCATGTTTGACAGGGGGAATCAGCGTTGCCAGTATTCCAGATTTATCTGGATTTTCCAGATTTTTAGTCGTCTTTCCAGATACACTGACATACCACGTATGTTTCCAGATTTTTTAAAATATTTTCCAGATTTTTTAAATATGTTGTTTAAAAATATCACTGCAATTGATTTACCCACTAGTAAAAAAAAATTAAAATCCAAACTTGCTATTAAAGGCCATCAACGTTGGACATTATTGGAATTTGAAGGTATTTCTGAAAAAAAGTTCACAGTGAAGTGTGAGGTGAATTCCTTGGGAAACCAAAGGAGAACTTCAAGCCAATTCTGAGTAGAGTTCCATCCATCTTTGTGGGCGTCACCCGTCGTTCAGGCGTACTGAGTGCCACGAAGTGAAGGTTCGATTCCCACTCCAGCCGGTGCAAATATTGGCAACCTAAAAATTTCCCTACTGTCCTAATGGGTGTGGTGTGTTGTCCGTAGTCTAGTGTTAAATATTCAGTCTGTACAACCTCTGGTTGAAGACAATGTCAATTGTCTTGTCAACTCTGATGACAATTGCTTAGAGATTTTGTGAATGTAGGAAATACAATCCGGAAGAGAAATCATAGAAGAAAAAAATTAATGATGAAACCATCAAACCAATATGATGTGCAAGCAAATTCCACAAATTATGGCTCGATGTCTTTTTGAATTGTTGATTCCTTGCAGGTGTACAGAAACAAAGGAGAAACCCGATCGACAATGAATGAAATTCCTCCCCGACTAAAGTAAACCCAGAACTGGAACGGACAATAGTGTAATTCCACGCTAGTAGCAACATCGTCGATTGGTCTTGTTGTGCTCGGTCGACTCTTGTTGAATGGCAACCGGGTCATCTTGCTCTCTGCACAGGACTCGCAACATCCACCTTCATTTTTAATGTCCCCGATTCCATCTACCATTTCGCTCTGCTTCAGGCGTCGTACATTCTTGAAGCTCAAGTGACCAAACCGTTTGTGCCATAGCTGCAACTCATCACCATCACCTTTCGCAAGGCTAGCCGAATCTGATGTATAACGCTGCATCGTCAGGTAGAATAGATTACCGCTGATCCTGATCCATCCGAGACACCATTGGCACATGAATTGTCTCCTCTTCCCATTCGTTTCTGCTCTTCGGCCAGCAAACGCGCCAACTTCAACTGATCATCTCCCAGGTTCTCCATAGCCGTGGTGACAACATCGTACGTCGATGGCAGAGAAATGAACAGTTGACTTACGGCATCTGACTCCGTGAAAGTAGCACCAGCTCCCTTGAACTGGTGGACCAACTCGTCAAATTTTCGGAAGTGGTACTTTAACGGTGATCCTTCTTCCATCTTCAGCGTTGCTAAGGACCTCCGAATGTATGTTTGCCCTGCAAAACCCTTCTTCGCGAACGTGCTTGCCAGGGAGTTCCACATTTCCTTCGCAGTGTTCTTGTCACGCACATACTCCAGATGAGAAACCGCGATGTACGCAACTAGAAAAGCCTTCGCCTTTTCGTCCTTTTCTTGAAAAGCTTTCCTCTGCGCTTCGTCAGCTGGTGCATCCTTCGTGATCATTTCCTTCACGCCGTGAGCCGACAACTGCGTTTCGACCCGGAACCTCCACACGTCGTATCCTTCACCAGCAAACTGGACTATTCCTACTTTCAGCGCACTTGACATCTTCACTCCCGTTTTCTCCGTAATTCCGTAACGAACTACTGGATTCTTCAAATCAATTAGCTTCAACTTCAGAGGCCGGACGTAACTGGGCTCATAACCTCTAGAGAAAGACGTGTGTTCAGTAGGAAGTCTGGTTTAATACTACATAAAGTTTTCAGTTATTGATAACGGGTAAACAAGTTCTTAACTGCAGAAATCAACTGCTCCTTCGATCCAACTCTTCAATTTTAAATCAATGTACTATCATAATCAACAGAAATAAACATAATTTAAAAAAAAAAACGTTGGATATTTCTCGCGCTTAATTCGCTTTGAAGTCTTCTGGAACGACCTCGGTTGTTCTTCAACCCCACTTATAAAATATACTAAGCACACACCATGTAACAAAACTTAGAAACCCACTCTAGTCCACTAGTGAAAATTTACCAGATGCTCTTCATTCTTGCAGTAGAACTGCACTGAAATTTCACTTGATGTTCCTGTAACCTCGCTTTTGAAGTTCCCCAGACAACACAAGACTTTGACGTCTTGTAGATCCTGTTTATAAAGTTCTTCGGACTCTTTCTAACAGATCCTTAGGTCTACCATCTAGCATCACTGGACTTATATTCAAATATTTAAACCTCGGAAAAATGCTATTTTACTGCATAGCTACTCAGATTTACTGACCTGCCCGTGTTTTTATTTAGTTAGAGGAGCGGAGCGACGGGCAAGAATCTAGAATAAGCTTCAAAAAGATGATTACAAAAAAATCTTCTACATAAAAGAAGGTTCTTAAAGAATGTTTCCCAGAAAATCATAATCTTTATCTTTGTCGATCAGAAGTGCAATTTCTGTGCTAAATTCTTTAGAAAAATTTGAAAGTCGCCATTTTGAAAGTTTTACAAGATCCAAAATGGCCAAATTTTATCAAAAATGTGAACCATTGTCCATAACAAATAATTATGCAAATCGGAGAGGGTCGAGTTTTCCGATCCGTCATTTGGCGTGGAACTGCTCCCTGTGAACAAGCCGAAAATCTTTAAGCCAACCACGACACGATTATCCGAATAAATCAACAAAAAAAAAACTTCCGCTCCTTTAAATAAATCCGCCCCAAATTCCACGCATGTGGCATTCAACCAAAGCGTTTCCCTTTTCACAAAATCTATTTTGTGTTTATTTTCCCACCCACGCCCGAAATAACTCCGACTGATTCGGTCATATATTAATGAAAGGAATCCGATGGCATCCAATCGATTGACGGCACTCGATATCAAGTATTCATGCCGTGATGTCAAAAACAAAAAAACAAACGGACTTGACCCTCGGCCGCCAGGTACCTACCTTTCTCTCGTTGGTATGCAGCTCGGTCGCCACCTGTTCGATAACCTGCACCTCGATGTCATCGGTTCGCAGGGCCTGCACCGGGTGGTTCGCATTGGGAGGCTGCAGATGCGGTGCGACCAAATTTCCTCCGACAGCTGATACGCGTGACGTCATTGCTTCACCCGTCATCGATTCCGACCGCCCGCTCCGAAACCCGTCGCCACGCACACACACACTCACACTGCTATTGATGATGGCAGATCGCGTCCTGATTCTTCTCCTTTTTCGTTCTTTTTTTTTTGGTGAATCCTTAAACTCACACAACCACACACATCGCCAAATGTTCAGGAAAACAAATCACTTACACAACCGCACAAACGCTTTCCGTTTTTCCATTCTTGCCTCCCACCGTGTGAGAAAGCGCGTGGTGCTGAAAAAAAAACGTTCGAAATCAGAACATGCATCGGTGTTGGTTGTTTATTTACAATTCCCCGTCGTCGTCGTCGTCGTCTTCGGGCGTTGGTAACGTGGCAACCGCGCGGGGTGCAAAGCTCACAAATCACTCACATGGAAGCGTCCATAAACAAATGCAGCGAGCACGTGCTTTCGGTCGGTCTGCTCATGTGTCGTCCGTTCCAGTCCACCCACGCGTGCCCCAACACACACACACACAGAGGAACTCGAAGCCGTGACCGGAGGCAAGCGCACAAAATTTCCCGTTTCACAATGATTCTTCCGGTGCTGCTGCTGGCTGCTGGCGCACTTGACTTGATTCGATTTCACTACTCCGCCGCGTAACCTACTTGTACCTAAGTTGAGTTGAAGGGGGAGATGCGATAGCGCGATTGTCGTGACGGCGTCGGGGTGAAAGTGCTTCCAGAATTCGGATTTTCCGTCCGCGAAAGTTGCATGAATTATGTATTGCCAGGGGGTGGGTGGCGGCTGCAACATGGACGCGATGAAGGGACTTTCGAAATAATTGATGGGCTATTGTGGGTTTTTGGCAGCGTCTGGCCACGGGCTGCCATGACGTGTGGGATCGATTTTCGTCGTGTTGGTGTGATGATTTGGGAAGAACGCTAGGATGCGAGCGGTAGCCTGGCGACGAGAAGTAGGTTCCCACTAGAGAAGTTTACATTAGTTTTCGAAGTTATCATGGAGACGCTTGGTCGGTCATAACTTTTCTTAGAAGTTATGTGCATTGTTTGGATCCTGCCAGGCCTGGGAATGCGTTGCTGTGTTAGCAAAAGTTAATTTAACTTGGTTAGCTTTTAATCTTGTACATTTTGCAGATTTCAATCTGTGAAAAAACATACAGGAATCCCCCAAATATGATTGACAGTAATAGCGAATTCGTTTATTATTCACTTCCAACCTGGATCGGGTATCAAGATTAAAGCACTCTAGTAAAAGCATGGACGACTGTCACCACAAAACTGAAAAAAAGTGGTTCCAATCGAGCAAAGCAGTGTATTTTGACGTCTGTGTTCCATTTGATGAATTTTCTCTTAAATTTGACAGATGGAAAATTCTCAAATAAACCTGCTATTGAGACTTATTTCTTCTGGCCGACCAGGAATCAATGTTGACCATGACCTACTTGAATATCGGAAGATAAGTCTGGAACAATAGTGGGTTTTTTTCATCTGTCAAGTTTAAGTGAAAATCCACTAAATGGAACAAAGCCTAAGGCTGTGTTCCATTTGGAGAATTTGCACTTAAATTTGACACTTCGAAAATTAATTATAATGTTCGAAAATCCCTCTGTTGTTGATCATCCGATTTTCGGAAAGTTGTATAGGCGAATCCAATAGAAACTAATACCATAGAGGTAACTCTAAGACCAGAATGTCTCGAAGAAACGTGCTTAACTTTTTGGCTCAGCCCTGGTACTCTCTTCGGTCCCAAGCTAATCTATGCACCCCTCGAAACATAGGAAAATCCACAAACCCCTCATTTTATCTGTCACAATTTCATAGCGAATCAAAACAAACATAGTGTAGTACTAGAATTTCGACTAGAATGAGGTACGTTAATCGATTTGCTTGGGACCAATAGGCTGAGGTGTTCACATTACGGTAACTTGATATAGTTTGTCATTTACAGAGTGGCCAGATTATTTTTTTCATTACCGGTAGCTTCTCAAAACTTTTATCGGTAGATATCGGTAGGTCGTCTTAATGCGGATCTTTTCAGTATCATCGAACGTCTGAGCCGGAAACAACATGCGCAGCGCTCAGCACCATTGTTTACAGTTGGATCACGCTCGCGAGAAATCTCTTATTCAACGACTTTCACCTTGATGTCCTCCTACGGTACCTGGGCAGTCGACACAAAACGGCGTCCGTTCTGGTGACGGGATGTTTTGGTTGGGGGGGGGGCACACGAACGAGTCAACACCGACACCAAATTTCACCACCCCCGTGGCTCGTCGACGAAAAACCCCACGAAGAGCCCAGCAATAGCCCCGGTAGTCGGGGTCCCGTCAGTGCGGACGCTATTCCCATATCGGAACTTACGATAACCCTCCGACACCGGAAGGAAATTGGAAGAGGTTCGCACAAGGGTGGCAACACCCATCCCCCTGTGGACGACGAGGGAAGAAAGGATAGTTCCAGTATCGGGACGGACAAGGAAAATTCAGCCCATTCCCCGAAGGACTTCGCGGGAACAAAGTAAGTCGCAGCATCTCTGGAAGATGCGAGCAACAGCAAAGTGCTGTCGAATAACACCAATTCTCCCTCCGTTGGGACATCCCTGCCCTGGGTGGGTGGAACGCCTCCACCTGCCCTTGGTGGGGCTCTATCTCATTCAGCATACGTAGCCAATTCCCCACCCGCCCTTGCCCAAGTCGGCCAACTCTATACTCCAATGGAACGTTAACGGCTTCGTGCAGCGGATTGGAGACCTCGATCTTCTCTACCAAGGTGATCAACCCTGGGTCATCGCATTGCAGGAGGTAAACAAAGGCTGGTACTAAACACGGTACCTTTCCGCGCTATCGACTTGGACTCACAGTTACCCATACTCGGGGTTCAACTTACAGAGCCAGTCAACATCACCGTTGCCTGCGCTTATTTGACATGTGGACGAATCGGCAACCTCAACTGTCAACTCAGCGAGACCCTAATGAAATTACCTGAACCACGCATCTTAGGTGGGGACGTCAACGCGCACCACTCAAATTGGGGTTGCCCTCGGTCGGACCTTCGTGGCACGAACCTCGTGGACATATTCGAAAAGGAAGATATGGTAATCTTGAACGATGGTGCTCCAACGTATTTCAACGGGAGATACACATCTGCTATCGACGTAACAGCCGCCAGTCGCCATATCGCTGATAAAACACAGTGGAACGGTAGTGACCACTACCCCATGCAAATTCAACTCTCGGTGACCTTCGTCCCGGCGGTAACACGGAGGCCGCGATGGCGGTATGAACAAGCGGACTGGGAAAGCTACGGCGCCACTGTGGAGACTTTACTACTACAGCGGAACCCGGACAGTATCGAGGACCTCTCGGACGCCATATACGAAGCAGCAACGGCCACCATCCCCAATACCAGTAGCGTACCTGGGAGAAAAGCCCTCCGCTGGTGGAATGAAGATAGGAAGAAGGCAGTCAAAGCCCGGCACAAGGCACTTCATCGTGCGGGCTCCCCATCGGACCCCACGACAGAGAGGAGACCCTTTGTCACTACCGTGAACTACACAACCAATCCCGACAAGAAAACCGTGATGCAAAGCGATCCAGCTGGATGGAGTTCCTGGAAGGGATGAACGCATCGCAATCCTCGGCCGATCTCTGGCAGCGAATCAACGCCCTTAGTGGGAAACGACGCACGACACCACTTCACGTCGGGCGGGACCCGACAAAATCGGATATCCTCTACTCAAGAAACTACCGGTACCAGGACAGCTACGGATGCTAGACCTCTTCAACAAGCTCTGGCTCACTAACGGTTACCCAGCAGTATGGAAGGAAAAGCTTGGTAGTTCCCATCCCGAAAGCCGGGGTGGGAACTACCAACCCGTTCAGCAAGTTTCGTCCAATAGCGCTAACATGTTGTATGGTCAAAGTCCCAGAGCGTATGGTCACTCGAAGACTGAAGCAACACCCCGAAGCTGGAAATTTCCTTGATCACCAACAGCACGCTCTTGCCGAGAAGGTTTCGGAACGTCCACCTATTTCGCAACCCTAGGGGAAGTTCTCAAGAACGCCTACGACAGTGGTCTGCACACCGAGCTAGTATCGCTCGACACATCGAAGGGCTTCAATAGAACGTGGACGCCCCTCGTCCTTAAGCAACTAAGCGACTGGGGCCTTAACGGACCCATCGTTCACTTCATCCAGAACTTCTTGTCCAACCGCTCATTCCGAGTCGCAGTCGGCAACACCAAATCCCGGCTTTTCCCCGAGGAAATGGGTGTCCCACAAGGATCGGCTATCGCCGTTACCCTGTCCCTCGTGGCGATGAACGGAGTCTTCCGTCAACTACCGAAAAACATTTATGTGTTCGTCTACGCCGACGACATCCTTATCGTCACCACCGGACCCACGCCAGTACGTACAACGATGAAAGCCCAAGTGGCAATCTCCGCTCACTCAGTAGGCTTTGAATTATCAGCCTCTAAAAGCATCAGGTGCCATGTCTGCCCTTCTCGACACAGAATTAGCGGACCACCGATCGAAATCGACGACCAGTCCATACCGCTGAAGAAGACCGTCCGAGTTCTGGGAGTTCTCGTTGACCGATTCATCAACTTTGAAAGCCGCTGCTTTCATCTCGAAGACATCCGGAAATCAAGGGATCTTCATCTTCGACGAGGGAAACAGACTCCTCCGCACGGCTGCCAACGAAGATCTTCTCCCCAGTGGCCAGGGTCCACTGGCATGGAGACAAATTCTGGCAAACACCATTACCGAAAATCGAAAGCCGGATTAAGGACAGGTTCAAAGCCGGAGACAATTCCGCCGACATCCGCCTGACATCCGAGGCCCCGACTCATCCCTGGGTGAAGACGACGATAAAGTCCGCGCCATCAAACACGGTATTCTGCTGGGTTCCGGGGAACTGTGGAATACCAGGCAACTCTGAAGCTGACTTTCTGGCTGGGGCAGGACCATCTGCCCCTCGCTATACCAACGAAGTACCGTTACACGATGTCAAGCGCTGGATCGTGAGCAAAGTACGGGAAGCTTGGGACGCAGAGTGGGCCCAAAATCGCTCCCTCTTCATCAGACGGATCAAAGGGACGACGAGGAAATGGACAGACCAGTTTTGAACCAGCGGGATCAGAAGATAGCGTCACGTTTGAGGACCGGTCACACCAAGATCTCGTACAATTTCGGTGGAACGCCGTTTTTTTGGTGAGGAATATTTTTCAAACGAACATAGTCGGATATCATATATTTTAATTCTTTTTTTT